TTTTTCCCATCACCGTCTTTTCATCATAAAGGCCTCAACTTTGATCTCTAACGAAAACATCCTAGCACAAAACAAAGGATAACAAAGCGTCATGGCTGAATTGGAACACTAGAAATAATGCAACAACAATATCTAGAATGCAAACCTGAATTCTGAATGAAATTATGCAAACTTTCGAAATGAGATAAAGAGAAACTGATCGGATTGATTCCTACTAGCGATGAAACAATACACTTTGTGACGTAGGCTAACCAATCATACAACTTTTGGCTCCATCTACCTAAAAGGTATCTCTAACAGTGTGACAAGTCTTGATTGTATTGAACACCTATTCTCTGCATGCTTGCCAACGAGTATTTGGTGTTCCCAAAGAAGTTAGCAATAGTGAAATCTTCTTCCTCGCTCCATTGAACAAGAAAGAGGTGGTGACCGCAGCTAAATCTATTGGAACAAAGTGAGTACCAAAGAGTCGACTTGGTCCCAAATCATCAATGAGTATGGGTGATGCTTCAAACAACATACACCGAGCTGTCCATGGTTGAGCCGTCGGCGCGACCGAGCCGCCACGACCTCGGCGCCGCCGCCGTTAAGCGCGCAACATCGCCGCCCTCTTGGACCGGACCGCCACAGCTCACTCGACCTTCATGGATCGTGGGGCCCCTCCTCCTTCGCCAGAGACCAAGTCCGCCGCCGCATTGCCCGCCCGCCTCGCCGTCGCTCTCGAGTTCTAGGGTTAGGGATTGGGTTGGGGAAGGGGGAGTGAGGAATCTTGAGTCGGGATGGCGGCGAATGAAAGGACGCGTCATGAAGCGTCGTGGGGTCGGGCTTATCCTTTCGGCGTGGCGTGAAGGGCGAAGTGGCCATATGGAAATACAGCAGCTTCATGTACGCCTGAATAGTGGGTCCACGACGGTCTCAGGCGTAGATAGTGGCGTATTTCAAACTCTTGCGAAATTGTAATGGCACCAACCCAGTTAGGCGAATAGTAATGGCGTATTTCAAAATCGTGAAAATTACGGTGGTGTGTATCCAATTAACCCTACAAACTAATAGTTTGAGGCCTATTATAAACTAGGAATGCCAATTGATCGTCTATTAGGAATTTTTACCGACTGATTGTCCATCAGTATTTTGGTACTTCAATCGACTCATGTCTGACGCTACTTTTGGATGTGCTACAGTGTCATCATGGTCACACCAGGAGAAAAATTCACCATATGGATAGGAACATTTTGTACCATATGCATGCGTTTTTTTAGAATGCAAAACTCAATATCCCTCGATACAATTGCAAAACATTTCTTACAACATGTGTTCGAGGGTAAAAAACAAACACAAAGAACAGGGGGAGTATATTGCAAGCGGAAGCTCCCACAAAACAGCATCTCCCTGTGATCCCTCAAGAATCACTGAACTCCTGTATATGCCGGGCACCAGAACTTTTCCAAAATGTATATATACTAATAGGCCAGTTATCTGCTATGGCTTCGGCTTCCGCCGGCATGCATTGTACTCAAATTTTAATTCTCCTTACTATAAAAGGATGCAGGTCTCCTGTCAAAAAATATATATGTCAACTTTGTATAAGGTTCAGTTCAACATGAAAATTATTGTAATAATTGGTTAAAAATGATCAACGGAGTTCGTAATCCATCTCAAGCCTTGTTTGGATGTAGTCGGATTCGTATCAATTCACATGTGTTGGGGTAAATTGGAGTGAAACTTGAACTAAATTCCACTCAATCATCTCCAGTACATGTGGATTGAGATGAATCCGACAACATCCAAATAAGGCCTCAAGGAGCAATAAAGTAAACCATAGAGCTGGTGCAAGCTAGAACCTAGGACTGCATTTCAAGTGGCACAACTACAGATGGACAAGTGTAAAAACATCCCTATTTGGGCGAACCGTGCACACCAAATTCTAAGTAACACAAATTAAACTAACCAATTTCTCAGTCACACACCGACACGAAATTTCTCTGCCATGCAAATAGACCGTTATGGCCTTATGGAGACAAGATCACATATATCATTATTGATTAGAACAATTTTCATGTTATGCCTTGGAACAGCGCTAGGCGCCAATGATTTTTCTTCCTATTTTTACCTCCTAACTACAAAAATAGGTAAATTTGACACCGCTACCAATACCATTCAATTCAGGTCCACGCCAACCTAATTTTGGTGTTTTTTCTGGCACAATCTCACATGTATGACACTCTTTCTCCCTCCTTTCCTCACCATTGTCGCCTCCATCTCCCTCTCCCCTCCTCTCTCTCTCTCTCTCTCTCTCTCTCTCTCTCTCTTCCCCACTGCCGCTTCCCTCCCACTCCATCGTCCACGGCACCACGCCTGACCACACTAAAGCAAGAGTGCACTCAAAGCCGCCCTCCACCTCCCCTTTTACCTTCTCTGCTGCCCCTCCACTGTAGCACCTTCTGATGAGGTCATCGCTCTTTTGGATACAAGGCTTGGAGGCAAAGAGGACCAGTGTGGGCGTCCAAGTCACAACGGAGGTCTAGTCCAACTCAAGTTGGAGTCCACCTCGGACTCTAGGAGTAGTCCTAGTTAAAAATGTCACCTAGGACACATATAGACTCTATTTTTTACATATTATTACCTATGCGCGGAAAATTAAGGTGATAACCTTTCCAATGCCAATGGTCTCACGTCAAAATTCCTTTACAGCCAATGGAAATCATAGAAACAAGTGGACGTCCAGAATCTATCCGGGTGATGCGTCACCATATTTTGGGTCATTGGCTGATGTATCATATTAGATCCCAAAAGTCCCCCCCTAGGGTTATGTGCCCCCTAATACATATTAATTCATGGGCACCACTTCGTTATTGTTTGTGTTTTGTTGAGTTCTGGTTTTTCTCGTAAAACAAACATTCTTCAGAGCACTTGTAACTTTGAGTTTGACTGCAGTGAATCCGTGGCCCTGTTCTTGTTCTTATTCGATTATGTCGATTAGTCCTTTCAATTGAATACTTGAACCTATTAGTTTGATAAACTTCAACTCTATTTGCAATATTAGATTGTGTTCTCAATTCGCTTGTAGGAAAAGCCTTCTAGACGAGATCAATCGTGCTGTGCGTGGTTGATAACCAACGGAGAAGTGGTTACAAGTTGCATGGGTCAAAATCATACTTGATTATTAGAAACCTAGATCATGAATGTGGAGTTCTTCACATCGATTTTCCCCTACGCCGCGTCTCCATCATCTCCCCCTCCGCCGCGTCTTCTCGCTCATCTAGTGCATGGCGAGATTGGCCTTGCAATTTTCTCCATATCCAACGATGCTCCATGGTGTGGTGGTGCCCTTTCACTCTGTCTACATGATCATCCCCCTCTCCCTAGCCAAGGCATGCAAGCCACAGCCAGAAACTTAAATCGGTGTAGCTAGGGGCTATAGTCGAGATTCGGCGATGGAAAGCCTCTTGTATCCCTCCATCTCTTCAGAATAGACTATCTATGATATATCACAAAAGTATGAGGTGGCTTGGTGGTTCGCACACAACAGAGGCGAGTGAGCAGTAGCAGTGGCACAAAAGCTAGTATATGCTAGACATAGCTATTGGAAGGTGGCAATGGGGAGGAGGGAGGTGTCAAGGTATCGGGAGAGATGGATCATATGACAGGCAGGCCCAAGCTATGCTTGAAAACCACCAAAAGAAGACCAACGGGTTAAAGGATCGGTACTAATAGTTGAGCTGCCAAATTTATCAGGTTTTATAATTTAGGGTTAAAATTAGACAAACGTAAGAGGTAAGGGGCCAAAAACAAACTTGTTCCTTTATAAAACATGATAAATTGTCTTGGATTTCTACACATGTTTTATTTCTCAATGGTGGTTATGGAATCCATGGTAGTATCAGAAAGGACAAGAGCCTGATATATTTCATATTTAATTTTTACCCATTTCGGGCAATATTTATAATTAATGATTCATAATTTTTAGTCACACGTACTCCAGATTGTAGCTAAGGCCATGTTTAGTTCCACCAAAATCCAAAATTTGGCACTATGCAAAAAGAAAATTCGCCATCACATCAAACTTACGGTACATGCATGGAGTACTAAATGTTGACGAAATCAAAAACTAATTGCACAGTTTGGTTGTACTTTACGAGACGAACGTTTTGAGTCTAATTAATCAACGATTGAACAATTATTACCAAATAAAAATAAAACGTCACTTTAGCTACAGTGTAGCTATAGTGATTTCGTCGGCGTCGAATCGGCCGAACTAAATGCGGCCAAAAAAAAATTGCAATTGTAGGGTGCCAGGTCTATGAACGTGAGCCGGGTAGCTGTCTTTCGTGTCTGTTGGTCCTACCATCTCCTCCCTCACCACTTTCCTCACCACGCGTTCTGCAGCTCGCATGTCATTTCCACCATCTGCAGTGCAGCGGTGTGCGCAGCAGAGAATTCAGTTCATAGGGGCACATGCGTCATTTCGTCTCTATCTTAATCTTGCCTTGGAATGCTAGATCAATTGCATTCCTTCACGGGTAGAGGGAGTAGTACCCGGTGAGCATTAGGTCTTGTTTGGTAGGGCTTCAGAGTCGTTTGGAGCTGTTTTCTGTTAAACGGGGTAAAGTGAAATAGCTTCACTGGTGAAGCTCTTGAAAACATGCTCTCACAGTGATTTGGGGTGGGATGGAGAAAAAAAGTGGCTTCTCCCGGCTCCTCCTCCAGGCCCCTAAAAACATGATCTCACAGGGAAACCGTTTTGCCAAATGGTTTACCAAAACCGCTTTAGCTCCACTGGTGGAGCTGTTCGTGAAGCTGTAGCAAAAAAAAATGACTTCACTAATGAAGTGAAGTTCTGCCAAACGGGGCCTTAATTAAGATGGCTGGTGGCTTAAGGAATTTTGGGTCTGCACATATAAACATTTTAGATTGTAATAACGTGTTACACAAGTGCACAAGAAACATATTATTGTCTAGCGTCCGATGCTACAACTTGCGAGCAAGCTACTAGGGCACAACTAGTCTATTTTCGGTGGCAGAACTAGGACTGGGCTGAGGTAAACATCCCTCTTTGGGCGAACATCGACACCAAATTTCTCAGCCATGTCTACCTCATCGGGTGTGACCCCCGGTGGGAGCTGCCAGTCGAAGTGGCAAAGGAGTGTCACGAGTGCCAACTCGATGTTGGCATGCGCTAGCATTATGCCCGGGCACATCCTTCTTCCTCCACTGAACGGCAAGAACTGGAAGTCCGTGCCACGAAAATCAACTGTAGTTCCTTCGAAACGCTCTGGCTTGAAAACCTCGGCATCATCCCAGTACTTTGGGTCGTCCAGACATTCATGATCATGAGCGATCATGAGCATGCCTTTGGGCACATCATATCCAAGGATCTTGCAAGATTCCTGACTCGCTTTTGGGAAGAGCACGCATGTTCCTGGGTGCAACCGCAGTGTTTCTTTGATGACATGCTTTCGGTACTTCAGGTTGGTCAGGTCGTCCTCTGTTACACGCGACTTGCATCCCAGGACATGGCGTATCTCTTGTTGCACTTTCCGCATCAGTTTCGGATTGTACTGGTTTCAGTCCCAAACATGTCCTGCAGAGACGTGTCACGTAACGATTCATGAGGCCATACAAAAAAAATAAGGGACTCAATAAAATTCAGGTATCTGAATTTAGTTTTCTTTCGACCATATAAAGTAATAAATCTCCCCTCGTGTCTCGGAAGGATGCAAGGCATGCGCAATTTGCAGTAGCCAGAGTGTAGACACTGCTAGACTAATCCTATTATTATTCACGATTTAGCTCGGATAGTTTTCATTACATTCACCAACTAAATATGCCTCAAGTCCTCGACAGTGTATTTATTTGAATACGTAGATATTACTCCCTCTATTCTAATTTATAGGTCGTTTTAGTCTTTCTAGATACACAACTATTATTATGTATCTAGACATATCGTACTGCACCTAGAAAAACCAAAATAATCTATAATTTATGATAGACGGTGGTAATATATTTTTAAAGAAAACAAGTTAGAAAATTTTGACTTAAGTAAGAAAAGACTAAATTATACTGTAACCTAAAACTGAGAGTAAAAAGTAGTAGCAGCATAGAAGTCAGATAGTAATGCCAACGATTCATTGATATAGGTAGTACCAGGATGACAGCTTTAATGGTCACCATGGTGAGAGGGCAGTCGAGATCATCATCGCATTCCTGCAGCCTCAGAAGCACATCGAGCAAGTCGCGTGCATCGTTGGCGCCGTCGTCTTCGGCACCTGCTCCTGCCTTCCTCTCGCGGTGCTGGTCGATGGCCCGATCCACCAGCTCGAACACCTTGGCGTTCAGCGCCTTGAACTCGCTCACCTTGCCGTTAATGGCTCGCAGGAGCCTCGACGACGGGAACAGGTCCTCGGCGAACCTCGTCATCGCCTTGGCCAGCGTGGCCATGAACTCGTCCCGCCACGTGAACCGCTCGCCCATGACGGTGCGCAGGACGGTGTCGGACACGAACCGGGACACCAGCTCGCTGACGTTGACCAACTGATGACGCTCGCCGGAGCGCGCGACCGTGGCGATGGCGCGGGCGAGGTGCGCGGCCTCATCCTCCCGGATGGAGCGGAAGGATCGAACGCGCCTTGCGCTCAGGAGCTCCGTCGTGCAGATCCTGCGGAGCCTCCGCCACATGGCGCTGTGGGGCGACATGACGAGCCCCACCTTGTCTCCGATGGTGGTTCTGAAGGTCGCGGTCATGGTCCGGGTGGCGAAGTTGGTGTCGTTCTCCCTTATAACTTCGCGTGCGGCGTCGGCCGACGAGACGACAACAGCGTGCAGCTCCCCTAGCCGGACGTACATGACGGGGGCGTCCCAGCGGCGTGCGAGGACGGCCAAGGCACGGTGCACGAGCCGTGGGTTCTTCACGGTCATTAGGTGGTGAAGGGTGCCAATTACCGGGAGCCGCCATGGTCCCGGCGGCAACCTTGTCCCTGGCGCACAAGGTGGAGTCCGTAGACAATGCAGATCGAAGAGTACTAGAGCTAGGAGGACGAAGATTAGAATCATAAACAAGCACCAAGGGAGCAGTGGCTCCATGGCTTTGCTCCACTATGATGTTAATGATAAAGATGTAGACAATAGGAACTGGCCTAATAATAGAATAAAAGGACGTACCCAGTGCAGAGAGCTACCGCTCTGTGCGAGGTCTGAGAAAGGGTGTCAGTGGCAAGCCTTACCCTCGCCTGTGCAATGCAAGGAGACCGCGACTCGAACACGGGACCTTCCGGTCACAGGCGGTAAGACTCTATCGCTTACACCAGGTCCTAATAATAGAATGAACGTGTAAATTCAGCATCAGGCTGTGTATATTTATAGATAGAGTTGCAAGGCTGGGAGGAAGTAGATGCCGTGTCTAAGTTCCTATTGGGATAGTGAAGCCACAAGCCTTGGAACACCTTATGAGTGGTGTTAGCTAAGAGCATCTCTAGTCTCTCACGCGCATAAGTCTCCACGCTTCCGCTGCAATCTAGCCTTCCTGTCCCGGTTCCTGTGAGCACGAAAATAGGGAGAGCAGGCCTCCAAAACCGAGTTGTCTCTGCGTTCATTTCCTCAGGTGAAGGGCGACCATTAGATGTTTGGGGAGCGATTACGTGACTGCTGAACCAATATTTGGGATAGTGAAGTCACAAGCCTCCGCTTCTAGGAAACACCTTATGAGTGGTGGTGGCTACGAGCTTCTCTTTATCATTAGCACCTAAATCATAGCCTCAAAAGCCCAAATTAGGAGCTCTCTAAACTAAGAGCATCTCTACTAGATATCTTACCCCAATCTTCTAAAAACATCCTAGCTTGGACAATATCATAAACCTGCTAGCTAGGCCTAAACCATAAACCAGCAAGGCCTGTTCACATTTTTGTTCTAAAAATACAATTTTATCTTGTTATTTGTATGAGATTCTAAATGCAATTCAATATTTGTTATGAATGAACTCCAAATCGCATTGATTTGAAAACAGACACATTTTGTGCCATTCGATTTAGCACAAGCACAAATATGAAGTAAAAAATTATAGAATTCTTGTTATATGATGAAATTCTTGGCTTGTCATGTCTTCATATTATTAGGTAGTATTACAGAATAAAAAACAACAAAGGCACATATTTATGATATTTGTATTTATTTACTTATTGCGAATATAGATGGCATGACACATATACACATTCATTGTACATGTGAAAGTATATCATGCGACTTGTGCATAACAAGTTCATCTACTTTTGCTCATATATATATCATTGGAACGGAAAATGATAGCATCATTTGATCAAGTTCATATGCTCCGATCCTAGTCATGTTTATCTATATTGGTCAATGCAAGTTCATCTCTATCCTAGACCTATATCAAATTTCTCGATTGATAACTGGTAACCAAATTCGGCACATATTAGACATTCAAGTTCGTTATCCGTGACTAACGCGGCACTTGCCTCCTCATCCTAGCTAATGTGTTGGTTTTCCACTATCCTTGTCCCCGACACCAGCCGCTTCCTCCCCAATGCTAACCTTCTCTGCTTCCCTAGCTAGCTCTCTATGCCATGTCTCACTCCCCACATCCTCCTTCGTCCTCTCCTTTCATGCATCCTCCCCTCCTCCTCATCCTCCTAGACGCCTTGCCATTGGTACCTCAACGTTGACTCATCCTGCACTTTGAAGCCAAGCTTGTCTATGCTCCGCCTCTCCCAATCTGTAGTGAGCAGTTATCCTTCTATACCAATTTATTGATGAAACCAAAAATTGAAATTCTTATTCAATGACAAAGGAGTTGTTGCCTTAGTGAAAGCTCTAGTCTGGTTTTGGTGAATTGATGAAACCCTAAGTGCTAACCTAGTTTATCAAAGTGATCATGAGATAGGTAGCACATTTCAAGTGGTGAAGCAAATAAAGATTATGACATGATGATGGTGATGCCATGGTAATGATCAAGTGCTTGGACTTGAAAAGAAGAAAGAGAAAAACAAAAGGCTCAAGGCAAAGGTATAAGTGATAGGAGCCATTTTGTTATAGTGATCGAGACACTTAGCGAGTGTGATCACATTTTGGTTTGATAGCCGTACTATTAAGAGGAGTGAAACTCATATCAAAATACGGTTATCAAAGTGCCACTAGATGCTCTAACTCATTGCATTTGCATTTAGAATCTAGTGGAGTGCTAACACCCTTGAAAATGTTTGTGAAAATATGCTAACACATGTGCACAAGGTGCTACACTTGGTGGTTAGCACATTTGAGCTAGGGTAAGAAACTTCACCGGCGGAGTGTCTGCCCGTAGAGTGCGGACAGTCCGACGGTGCCACCGGCGCCCTGTACAAAAAAGGCAGGGTTTCACAGAGTAGACCGGACGCTGGCCTTAACTGGACCGACACGTCCGGTCAGTAGAAGCAGTGAAGACGTTGGCGTCGGTCTTCGATCGGACGCTGGGTCACTTCATGACCGGACGCTAAGTAGGTGCGTCCGGTCCCGCTGACGTGGCAGCACAAACAAGAAGAGAAAGGACCGGACACTAGTGCTGCGTCCGATCGTGACCGACCGGACGCGTCCGGTTGCAGCTGGAACCTTACTGGAAGTGACCGGACACTGGGGTCCTGCGTCCGGTCATCACTTGACCGTTGGGATCGGGCACTCAGTATTTGAAGAGAGAAATGACGTGGTAGCCATCTTTTGACATGACGCTGGCAGGGTGCGTCCGGTCAATCTAACTGGAGCGTCCGGTCACCCCGAGCAATACCCAGTGAAGGGGTACAATGGCTCTATTTCATGGGGGCTTCTATTTAAGCCCCATGACCGGCTCTAGCTCACTCTCTTGGCCATTTGCTTTGATATAGCAACCTTATGAGCTTAGCCAAAGCCCTCCCACTCATCTCCATCATTGATTCATCATCTTTGTGAGATTGGGGAGTGAATCCAAGTGCATTGCTTGAGTGTTTGCATCTAGAGGCACTCGGTGTTTGTGTTTCGCTATGGGATTCGCTTGTTACTCTTGGTGGTTGTCGCCACCTAGACGGCTTGGAGCAGCGAGGATCGTCGAGCGGAGGTTGGTGATTGTCTCTGACTCCGATCGTGGTGATTGTGAGGGGTTCTTGACCTTTCCCCAGTGGAGAGCCAAAAGGTACTCTAGTGAATTGCTCGTGGCTTGTGTGATCCTCATCTTGTGTTGGTTGTGCGGCACCCTATTGAGGGTTTGGCGATGCCAATTAGCGCGTGAAGCTCCAAGTGAGTGAATCGCCACAATGAGGACTAGCTTGCCGGCAAGCAAGTGAACCTTGGTAAAAAATCATTGTGTCATCATTTGATTCCGAGGTGATTGGTCTTCATTGGTATTCATTCTTGTGATTGATTGGTTCACTCCTCGACTCGGCGGTATAATCATCTTACTCACTCTCTTTACATTACCACAAACTAGTTATCAAGCTCTTTAGTGTAGCTAGTTGTGAGAGCTTGTTAGTTTGGTTAGTGTGGCTCTTTAGTTAGCTTTTGAGAGCACACTAACTTAGTGTAGTGACATAGCCATTGTGTGGTTAGAAACTATAGAAAATAGAATTATGGTAGGTGGCTTGCATTTTTAGTAGGCTAGCGCAACACTCGCTTCGCCTCATATTTGTCTAACCAGTTTGCTAAGTGTTGTTGTAGAAATTTTTATAGGCTATTCACCCCCTCTAGCCATTATGACCTTTCACTTAGTGATGATATATTATGTTTGATAATGAAGCTAGCACACTATCGCTAAAATTAATCAAAGCCTCACTGTCGGTATATGACGACCAACAACCTATCACGGGTTATTCAGGACAGAGTTTGGTGGGCTTCGGGGTATGCAGAACTCGGCAGTAGACACGAAGACAAACGATTTATACTGGTTTGGGCCCTCATGATCAAGTAAAAGCCTTACGTCCAGTTCGGCGTGATGCCTTTGTGTTGGATTGTATGATTGAGTTGATGTACCATCTAGTGTCTGTCGATCTAGGGAGTCTTGCCCTCCTTTATATAGTCCAGGGGGTAGGATTCCTAGTCGGTTACAATGTAGGAGTCATAGTAGATTACAAGATATCAACACTACTAGGATCACATACGGAGAGTCCTAGTCAGACTAGATCTTTGTGTTCCCTTACGGGTTACCCGGGGACTATGTCCCACAAGCCCCTGAGCTCTTCATGGTTGATCTTGAAAGTCTTCTTGAATCTCTTGGAGCATACCAAGTAGAATGAAGCTTCATCTGAGTACTTTCTTGAGAGAGACCATGGTGTGCTCTTGAAGTCAATATGCTTCACCGCCAAGTGAAGTATATATGCTTAGCCCCTGATCCTCTTGCTAATTAGCATAAAAGCTGGAGGGTCTTTGTCTGAAATTGCTTCAATTCTTTTCAAAGAAATTTGAATGCATCCGATGAGGATATATACCCCACAGGCCCCGAGCCTAAATCCGAGTACCCGATACTCGGTTATAGGGTTTTGTAGACATCCTCAAGGGTGCAGCTGAGTAACCTCCCAAGACAATAATCGAGGATCGCTTGTCACTGTGTGGTTGAGTGCTTGTAAATTTGATCTTCTATCCTTGAATTTGAGCCCCCGAGCATAATCAGAGTGAAGCCGACTAAGCTGAGGCAATGGCCGAGCCCCCGAGCTTTAGTGCCGTCTATGTTGGATATATTATGGGCTTGGCCCATATAATATTTAATAAATCGAATAAACTCTATGGCGTGTAATAAATAATATGCTGATTATGGTTTAATATCATACGAGATTTTGATTGAATGGTAACTCAATTTATATGGATGGATATTGTCCATCTATATTGAGAAGTTGAAAAAAGGACACTGGTGTGCCACACGCGCGCGCGTCGCCGCCACCGCCGGCCGGGCCGCGGGCGTGGCGTGGCTTGGCATGGTAGGCAGGCAGGCAGGCGGCGAGCAAGCGGGCAGACGGGGCCATATTTTGCCAATCAAGTCACATAATTACGGGAGTTTCTTCCATTTCTAATTGGTGGCGATTTGATGAGGAGAGTTTTCTCCGTTGCTGACGCTGAACAATGATGGCGAGAG